CCTTATCCCCCTGTGTGCCTTGGCAGTCTCAGCGATATTCCATTTGTGATCCACCGTGATTTCGGTGCTCGATCGGGGGTTTTGTGAACAACACGATGTGGGGTCGAGGAGTTTTTTTAGTATCGTTCGCGCTTGTAGCGTTCGGAACCACAACAAGTAAGCATAATTTAAAAAATAACTTTTTTGAAATCATTTTGTACTTTAATTTCTTGATGCACTTTAGAGATGCAATTTCGATCAGCATTTTTTTTTATCGCTTACATATTAAAAAAGATAGATAAATTTATCAATTTATTTATGCGTGCTTATTTAAATGTTGGCAATTTACTTACAATAATTTTATAGAATAAATTTAGATCAATTTAAATTTTTTAGTTTTACTATACAATATTATTTATTAAAGTTTAATACAAAATATATAAGAAATAAAAGATTTTGTTGCTTAATGATTATTTTAAAGCTTTATATACACAGGTTTTTTATTTTTAATTGTATGTAAAAATTATTAATGTTTGAACATTTCTATTAAAAAAAATTTTTTTTTAATTTCTCAAAAAATACATTAATAATACATAAATATTAAATTATATCATATATAGTTTTGTGTGTGTGTGAATTAAACAAAAATTGACTCAACTGATATCTCTCTCAGAATTCTTACTTCTTGTTTTAAAGTTTTAAAATATAATATTAGCTATTCTTGTTATATTTAAAACGTATAATTTAAGAAACTACATTGAAATTAACAAATTATTTTTTCCTATTAGTGAAAAAGTCAAATTCAAGTTTTAAGGTCCAAAAAAGGCTTTACTTATTAATAGTGAAATAGCACACATTTGCGTGTGACACGAAAAGCGACCTTCTGTCGATTGCATTACACGCGTATCGGATACATCGCGTCCTTTAAGGTTGAATTACGCCACGCGCGACTAGAGCGATTATTCTTGCAAAGACGACACCATTTATATCATTGATCGCATGCAATCGTATTACATGCAAAGTTCTGATATCTCATTAAAGATCAAAGATCATCCGACGCTTATGTTTTCGGGTTTAAATGCATAGATATAAATTGAGATTACTTTAGATTCGCATTAGCTATCATAAACGACGATGATTAACATGGAGAAAGTAGTTTTATTCTTATTTATTAAAGCAAATGCTTTGTAATAAAAATAAAACGTTACTCATACAAATTGTATAGTATTTTTTATTTTTATATTTAAAAACGGATGCTTTTGCTTTTATTATCAGTTAAGAATATCCATTTTACTTTTACTTGTATGACTCATACAATGTCTAGCAAGCTTGCTGGAGATTTGTTGCATTTATATAAATATATGTAAGAAGCAGTATTAATATATGCAAAAAATTGGCAAGCGTTACGCAATTTTACGCAGCGTTATGCTCAATCATTCGCATGATAATTGCATTGTTATTATCTCAACATATCCGGGACCGTTGATTATTAATAACCTTCGCTTCTTAATCTGTGGATTATTTTCTACGCGCTTCTTACTTTTTTTTACGGAGAATGAACAACATGCGTGACTATGCAAATTAGTAGCAACAATCGCATAGCACTGCAGCCGGTCGATGATGTCAACTCCTGCAAACGAACGCATCTTGTTTTCTCTATTAGATCATACTTCTTACAATAAGCGAAATCGAACACACACTTGCATCCCATTGCAGAATGTCCGAAGAGAAGAATGTCGCCTGTCAGAGAAATTTTCTGCTATACTTCGTCTTTCGATGTGCAGCTACTAGTTGACTCAGTCTGCAGCTGTACCACTTTGGTGCACCAAAATCATGATGTACGGAATTTCTCAATTTCCGGTAAGTTCAGTATTTTGAAAGAAAATCACGATATCAATTCTGATATTTATTATTAATTGTAGCAAAAAAGCAAATTTATCGAAGTAATTATTGTATAATAAAAATAGTGTAAGTTTTAAACCAATTTATACAAATTTTATAATAAAATATAATATTAATACATTAATTCACAAAAAATACAAAACATTTTTCAAAATTGAGCGATTTTTAAACTGCTGAAATTCAACGAAGAAACATAGCAAAGAAAAAATTAAAAAAGCATATGAAACCTTAAAGTTTATATTGTCACGTACTTTAGGCCGTTTTTTAAAAATGTTTTATTTTTTCACTTCTAAGCTAAAAGAAGTACATTGTTTTATTCTTTAAAATTATATACTTTTAATACTCTGCAGCTTAATAAAAAAATTTAGCTGGCTCGATACAAACTTTGAGCTTTCAAATGCTTTTTGTAATTTTTTTGTCTACAATGATTTTTTGCCGAGTTTCAGCCGTTTGAAAATAGCCTAATTTTAAACGTTTCGATGCGAAAAAGCAATACGCCTGATTGCTTGAGAGCGCACGCTATGTGCGACGCGCCATTAATACGCGTTAATGGTTATTGTCAGCTATTTGGCCGCACTGCTCTGCCGCGTCGAGACGTTCAAGCGTTTAAAATTGAGTATATATTCAAACCGCTATAACTCGGCAAAAAATCATCGTGGATGAAAAATTAAAAAAATATTTTAAAGCTTGAAGTTTGTATTTTTATGCTTTCCATCGTTTTTATAAATTTTGTATTTTTACGATCCTAAACTCGAAAGAAGAACACATTGTTTTGTTCTTAAAATTACGTACTTTCAACACTCTGTAGCTTAGTAAAAAAATTTCAAAAAACGGTCTAAAGCATATAAAAGTGCAAACTTTCAACCTTTTTGTTTGTGATAACTTTTCGCCGAGTTTTAACGATTTGAAAATCGTTCAATTTTAAGTGTCTAAAAAGTGTTCCTTATTTTTCATCGACTAGTATATAGATTTTATATATTATACTATATAGATTTTAACAAAAATTTTAATAAAATTGTAACTTAAATTTTTAAATAAATAAATAACGTTAAAAATGACTCAAAACTTTAAAAGAAATGAATCTATTATTAATAAGAGATGATATTTTAGACATTGCTGATTTGCGGAAGTCTTTGAAAGAAATGTATCCGCCTCTTCAATTTGTAATTTCGATAAATGATCCTGCAAAGATGCTCGAAACTTCCGCTATGATACGACAAGAAACTATCGCTCGAATTATCGCCATTATGAAGGAGGTATAGTATTTACTATCATTATCTTTATTTTCTAAAATAAGATTTTATTTTCCGATGATTTAAAAAGGTAATCAGTTAAACAGTTAAGTAAATAATTTGTAATTAAATATTTCAATCATTGAGTAATTTATAATTAAATGTATTAAGCTGATTACGAATCAAATAGTTAAATAGCTGGATTTAAAATTTGGCAAATTAACAAGAAAATTTATTTTCTTCAATCTCTTATTTTTTTCAAGGTGGATGGCGTTGAGATGAATGTGACAGCAGGTTCCAAAGAACGACTTCATAATTTTATCAAAAGTCTGAAAAACGAAATGACTCGGAAAATGTATGACAAGAGAATTTTTCTGGTTTTGCCTAGTGAATCGGAAAATATAGCCAAGCAGTTTGATCTTAAAGAACTCATCAAGTAAGAATTTCTTTATTCAATGTGATATATAATTATTTAATTGCTAATAATTTGTTTGTAAAGTCCTTCAATCACTGAATGTTAAATTCGATTGCCTTCTTTAACAAACTGCATGCTAAAAATTGCGCAGGTACTGCTTATTGTATTAATTATTCGTACAGCCAACGCATGTTGCAAAATTACTCAGATATTTTTACTTTTCTATTTTTCAGGTACATTGATCTGTTTACACTATCAACAGACTATTTGACAGACGAGGATGGAGCCTTTGTTACCTTCCATCCCTCGCGTTTGATGGGGCTTTTCGATATGCTAAATACGGACAACTTGGTAGACTTGATAAGTGGATTAGGAGTACCCAAGCAGAAAATCTTGATAACCTTGCCGGCAAACGCATACAAATTCACATTGAAAGATGAGGCTGAGAACGCTCCTAGATCAGAAACCACGGAAAAGGAGCCTATACCGATTGATCGTAAACAAGTGCGATATAACATCTCTCTTTTTTTCTAACTCTGCACTGTCTTTCAATCGTAGTAATATAGCTAAGAAGAATGAATCTGTTAAAGATTGCAAATCTATTCTCAAACTAACCAATCTCTATCGTAGCTCTGCGAAGCCATAAACAATGGAGAATGGACCGTGGAGCGAGATGAAGATCTTACAGCGCCGTACGCATTTCAAAATAAGACGTGGATTGCTTTCGAGGATAAGATTTCGGTTGGAATAAAGGTGCGTACGCGGATTTCTTTATTATTTTACTTTATTATCAAAATCAATCACAATACTATGACGCCATTATATAGAATATTAATCGCATAAAGTGACAATTAGAAAGTTATTAAAATAATTAAGTTATTAGGGAATAAATTGGAAAAAATAAAAAAATTTTAATATAAATTTTTCATCAATCATTTTTATTAACATACAAGAATGAAATTATATAAAACGATTTAATAAAAAAATTTTACTTTGTTATTCGTTATTTTAATCGTTATTCTATCTCTTTATTCAGCCTTTGAAAGGCAACCAATTTTCCATTATGTATAATAGAATATCTGATTTCAGGGGAAGTATGTATTGTTGCGCGATTTGGCAGGATTAGCAGTGCGAAATATAGAAAACGATAAGAAAACTGAGTGCGAAGAACCGCTCACGCAAGAAATTTATCATTCCTTCGTCGAATTTAGAAGGAAATCGAGACAGGCCGTACTTAATGCATTGGAAGACGAGCTTCATGTGTGTTAATTTACTTTATATTTTACATTGGATCATTTTTCTTATTCTAATTTGTTGGAAATTTCAGCAAATGCAATTTTCATATCCAAATCAAGCAAAAACATCCAGCTTCCGTGTTGTTCGCGTAGTAGATACAGAGGGACATATCAGAGCTGTCCGCGAAAGCACGCAAACCGAATTTGTCTGTAGAAGACAAGGCTATTTTGTCCATCCTAAGAGTTGTAATAGGTAATAATTATTTAAGTAATTCAATTTAATTGTAAGCAGATTTGAGTATGCATACAGTAAATATTACTTCATCACAGATTCTATCGCTGTGTGAAATTCAATCAAGCCGTGGAGGACTATTCCGTTTTCGAATTTGATTGCCCGGCCGGTTTGTCGTTTGACGAGCGCACGGAGGTTTGTGTCTGGCCAGGATCCTTGCCTGAAGGCTCACCGTGTCCTGGCAGCAGCGAGATCGCTCCTGTTGCACCAAAGAGATTCGAATGTTCTCAACCTGGCTATTACGCGGATCCACAAAACTGTCGTTGGTTCTTTGCTTGTATGGACTTAGGTGTGTTACACAATTTAAACATTACATAATTGAAAAAAATATTGCAGTAGTAGAACGTACTTATATAATTTTTAATATTTAATGAATCTCTTTTAATATTTATAAAAATAAAGTCCTTTAAATATTTTTATAATTTTCATCATTATGTGATGTCATTTCATACTAAATTTGTATTTAAATAATTTTAATTCTATTAATTTAATTTACAATGTTTAGTTTCATAAATTGAATAAATACTATTATACACGATTTATATCGATAGGTGAATCGGAGTTAATGGCGTTCGAGTTTCGCTGTCCTTACGGCTTGGTGTTCGACGAGAAAAAATTAGTATGCGAATGGCCATGGTTGGTTTCAGCTTGCTCCGGCTCTGGATCTGCCTATACTAGAGCGGAATACGATTATAAGGGACACACCGCAGAAATTTCTAGTGTCGGTGTTGGCGGTTATGTCACCGGTGGTTTACCCGAATATTCCACCACAGCTGGAACGAGTTATTCTAACGTAGACTATTCTAAAACAACCAATACTCATGGAGCAAGCTATTTTGGATCTAATACAGGATATTTCGACGGACATGGTATCTCGACTTCTGGAAATAAAGCAATTTCTGGATATGGATTATCCAGTACAGCTGGCGTTGATTATTCTAAATCACACGAGCACGGAGGATCGGTATCTTCTATTCCGACGTATACCGATGCACATAGAATAAATATTGGTTTTGTATCTCCAAGTATCAATGTAGCGCAAGGTGCCACGGGATATTCTGCGTCCAGTGATACAATCGGTAGTACTGTTTCTGCCGGGCAACCTGATACCAGATATTTTGTGCCTACTGATGGAATCAATACTGAATATGCCAACACTGGATCACTGCAAGGAATTAGTGCAGGTTTTCCGGGATCTACAACAGGACAGTTTGCCGGAACCGTACAAAGAGGTCATACAGAAAAACAAGGTGTGACACATTTCGGAACATCTGGATTAAGTTATTCAAATTCTGTGGGAGGATACACAGGAAGCGTTAGTACAAGTAATCCGACAGCAGGTTCAGTGAGCTATTCGAAAACGCCAGGAGCGAGCTATCCAGAGTTGCCTGTCGGCATCCACGGAGGCTCTGCTGGTCCGAAATATGTCGGATCGACGAATGTATACGCAGACTCCGGCACGTTTAATACCGGCAGTTATTCAGCTTCTACCTCAAAATCCGGAATAACTTCGGGAATTTCCGCTGCCTCCGAGTATACCGGTGGTATCGATAACAGTCATTTTGTAAGCGGTAGCACACCATATTCAGGAGTAACAGGTACTTCTACGACAAGAACAAGATATAACGACGAGCAGGGTTACACAATTCCCGTATTCATACAGCAAGAAGAACCGATCTATCCCTCGATTAAGCCAACAGGAGGAGTCAGAATTAGCGGTCATATTGGAACAATTCGAACAAGCGGAGGCAGTGCGACAAGCAGCTACGAGAAAACGGATTTCACGAGGCCGCATTTAAATGTCAGCGTTTTCGGCAGTCAGATTCCTACCGGCTACGATATTCAAAGAGGCACCACCGGTACAATTCTGTCTGGAAGCAGCAAAGAAGGAAGTATCTTTACCGGTGGCTCGTCTTCAGAATCTGCTTTCAGCTACGGAAACATTCCTGGAACGATATCAACTCCCACTGTTAAACAAGACGTTTTGACGATCAGTGGTCAACCTAATTATATCGCTACTTCTTCCGGAACACCGGGATACGTAATTAACAATGGAGTGAAGACCGTAGAATCATCTCATTCCTTGTCATACGGAACGCCGACGCCTGCAATTTTGTTCAACGGCCCTTCAATATCCGACGTCATTCTGAAAGGTATCACACCGGGTGTGGTTGTTTCTGGACAAACCGCTCCGGGAATATCCGCAGGAAGTTCCATTCAACAAGGAATCATCGAGAGTTCAACCGACAGAGCATACGTGTCGCAATCAGATGTAACTCGTCATGATATCAGAGGTGGCGAAGCCGCTACAAGAGGGTCGGTAACTTATTCAAGCGGCACTTTAAGCGGAGGATTAAAACCAACGAGTTCTCAAGGCTATAAACCTGATGGAGAATATGGCGCAGCTCCTTACGATACCGGCAAATATACAGAGAAAGACATTCCGGATTATAGATCGAGCAGCTCCATTTTTCCTGATTCTATTATACAAGGAAATAGAATAGAGAGCAATAGAGGTTTTAGCGCGGGTTCCACTTTTACCGGTGCGTATGATGGTCCGTCCACCGCGGCACCGGGATATTCTTCAACCAAATCGGCTGTTTTCACACCAAGTGGCTTCACAAAGACCGGTCCGACCAGAACAGGTATAACCACTGCCATTCTCGGAGGTGGAGGTAGCTATTCAGTGAGTACGGGTGAACGTCGGCCTACTTTGAATCCTGAAAATATTAGCGAAAAGGCATTCCAAGGTAATGTCGGATATACCACTTCCGGTTATTCGTATCCCAAGCCGAGCGTTCAGCTCGGAACCAGCGATGCAACGTTTTCCTCAACGCCGATTTCATCGACTGAAATTAATTTACCCGGCTCGACAGCTGCGCCAAGTCGCGCAAATTTAGAACCAGGTACTCCCGGCTACTCGTATCCTAAACCAGCTATTCAGCTTGGAACTAGCGACGTCACGCTTTCCTCAGCACCGATTTCATCGACTAATTTTCCTATTGCTACGCCTACGCCATTCCTGATCAATGTGCAGAATGAATCACTGGATGTGTTTAAAACTAAGATACCTACAGTTAGACCTATAATTTACACCACTGAACATCCAGATATTTATGGAACAACTCATTTTGAAGCGGCTAGAATCCCGACCGTCAGGCCTGTCGTTGACACCGATTATAAGAGAATAGCTGTCCCTACGAATATTCCAGTGTCAGTATTGCACGATTTTACTCAACGGATCGACGGCTCACAGACTGCATCGGTATCCACGTCTAGTTCTTTCCAGCAGACCGATTCGAGCGGTCAGAAGGACTATAGTTCCTTCACTTCGTCGCCTCCGTCTTTGGAATATCTTCCTGCACAGTCAACTGCAAGACCTGGCGCAATTGCGTCTACCACGAAATACGATATACCTACTGCGCGACCACAGCCGTCCATTGGAGTAACATACAAACGACCTTCGCCAGTCTCTGATGTTACGTACAAAAGTCCTTCGCCAACTACCTTTAGACCTTATTATTCCGATCAAAGATTTTCGACGTCGCCGTTCTTGAAAACAACCTCGAACGACGGCTCGCCGACAAACTTGGATATTCCGAGAGATAAAATTGACAAAATGATTACAAATTATGGCAGAGGCACTGTCAAGTACTCGCCGAGCGTGTACGATACTTACGCAAGCTCAGAATTCGATTCGACTTCGGGTAATAAATTCTCTACATCATTATCGTCTACGAAATCATCGTTCTCCGGACAGACTGGCGGTACTTTTGCCATTACAACATCGTCCGGCCTCGCACCTTCTTCGTACGAGGTCACCACGAAGTCGCCTGAAAATAAGGGCAAGGTCATCGTTAAATGGAGCGATCTTCATCCGCTTCTTCTAGGTAAGCTCGGAGCAGAGTGCACATGCAAGGCTGACCCCTTCGCTACTCTTCGCGGTCCGGGAAAGAACCTGATCGCGTCTTCAAGGGGCAAAGTGGATCTTGCGAACTACGACGAATCTGAGATCTACGTTGATCTCGAAAACGACAGCTCTTCCGAAGAGGACGATTACATTACCAGTTACCACGATTCTTCGCAGCCTTACAAAATTAGTCCGCTCGAGACGACAACGGATTCGACCAATGTACCGTCATCCTCTTATTTGCCTTCGCTTAACGTCGGCAGAAGAAACATTGCTCCCGCAATAGATATTCGCGCAGATGCAAAGAGTGATACACTTAGACGATCTTCCGGATTCCAGGCTGGTCGTCGAACTGGCAAAAAATTAGAAGATGAATATTCACAGAATTCTGCTTCCTACGAGGAAGACGATCCTGACCAGATTATTGACGGTGCCACCAACTGTGCCAGACCGGGTCTCTTCAGGCATCCTAATCTCTGCAATAAGTTCTACGCTTGTCACTGGGACCAGTGGAAGAAGAAGTTTACGCTTCACATCTTCAATTGTCCTATTCATTTAACATTTGATTCAAGCGTGAGCGCGTGCAATTGGCCAAGCAAGGGTCCAGCTTGCCAAGCCGGCAATTTATTAGTGTAAATTCCTTATTATAGGCACTTTTCATAGAGCGATATCTCGGCGTCTTTTTCATTCTCTCGCGATTTTAAATTTTATAATAAATAAAAAGATTATAGATATTGAAACATAGATTTAAAGTATTTCGGAAAATTAATTTGTTGTCACGAATAATAAGATGTTGCAGCAGGTTATCGTTAAATAATGAACAATTACTTTCGCGTAGTTTGTGGTCTTTCAGCTTCGGATTGATTGATAATTTCGTTTTGAGTTCATCTCGTCGTTTATCTTGAGACCCAGATCCTCAAAGAACCGTATATTGAATAGCGTTGATAAATATCTCATTGAAATGAATCTTTTAGCATCAGAGAGTGGAGAGAATAAGAAGGTTGAGACTTGAGATGCAAAGAGGAGGCCAAATTCAAGGTAATCGAGGTATAGGCTACGGGAAAGCGTTGTCAAAGTGAAAGTAGTCCGTGCTTGTCGATCCAAAACGTAAAAAGTCACCGAGTATCAGTGTATATAACTCGTATTTCTATGTTCTAAATTTATGTAAATATTGAATAAATTACCTAAAAGCCTTTATCTGCTCATTAATATAATAATAATAACGATAATGATAGTAATAAGATAAAGAACAACAATAACAATATTATATTATGTATTTTCGTCTGATAAAATTATCAACGCGTCAAAAATCAAACAAGGAATATAAATAAATGACAACATTTATTTCTTATTTAATTAAAATTTGTATTATAATTTAAAAATTTATATTAAAATTAATATTATTTAATTAAAACTAAATCAATTTTATATTTGATATAAAAAAGATGATATTATAAAAAGTGATGCGCAATCTCGATATAAATATAAGCATTTTCTACTGCAAGTCACATCCAATCACATTGTCTTCCGCCATTTCATTTTGCGTAATGATATCGATAATACGTTATGCATAATTGATATATTCTTCCTTAATCATTAAATTCCGCTTTTCTTTCCGGGTTTCTTAACTTCCTGACATTCCTTCGAAATAATTATTTGAGACTTACCTTAATTTTCTATGTTCTCCGCTATCTTTTCTTCAATATTTTCACAAAATACTATTTATTCATTGCTTGTTAAGGAAATCTAATATCTTCTTTCTTACGATTCTTATGAGCTTTTGAATATCGTGCCATTTGTCGAGCGATTAATTAAATGCCGTTATAATTTTAATAAATTTCGTAATTAAAATGTATTTGTGTTTATTACCATATCGATTTCCTTTCTCTTTTATTAAAATAGTGTTATTATTTTATTACTATTTTATATTATAGAAGTTTCAAGTTCTGACAAAAATAAAATATATAACTATCTTAAATATGTATTTTCCAAAAATCATACATTATATATTTATATTCCTTCATTTTTAAACTCTTTCACTTTAATAATCGACCTATTAAACACAGTTTTCAAATAGAAAGATTGATTGCCGCTTATTGTTCAATTATACCTTTCTGACTAAGCCAGTCATATAAAAAAATTAGATAATTATTCTCAAGTTTTACTTTCTTCCTGCTGAAGATGGAAAGTTGTCATTTTATTACTATTTTACCAATTAATATGCCAATTGGTGCGTGGAGAGGGGTTCTTTCTTTTCGCGATTACCAATCAGCGAGAAAGAGAGCATTCACGGTGAATGGACGGAGAAGCAAAACGAAAGAAAAGGCTGTTACCAGTGCGCGATTCACTAGTTCGGGCTAGGAGGTGATATAAAGGCGCACGGGGACCTGATTCAGTCTGATTTGTCTGTAACCCAGAAGAACCAGCCTGATAGCGAAAAGCCCGTCGCTGCCACACCACTTTTTACCATCATGTAAGTCTATCGTTATTTCGTTATATAATTAACAGTGGATTATTTTAATACTATCAAGTGTCGATCGTAATGCACGCTTATCCCTACGTAATGTATGTAACTCCTCTCTTTAAAATATCTAAATTTATATTCCTAACGTCAGTATTATTATTCATAAGCCAGTTTCGAGTTATATTATGCACTATTGCAGCAATAAGGATATAATAATCATTTATCTTGTAATTGGCTTGCAAGTCCGGTTAATCAATCAACGCAAACAATTTGCCATTGTTAGAGTTTCAAGTTTTCTCAGTATATTATACTAGCAGTAAAACAGAAAAAATCAATACTTGTGTCACTGAAATAATTTCAACTTAAATAAGGAACATTCACAGTTGAAAAGCAAGTTTAAAATGCGACTACACAGCGCGTCTCATAATCAGCAAGTTAACTTTTGACTTCGGTCGCGTGCATCATATCAAATTATTGTGCTTTCCTTTGATGGCAAAAGTTGAATTTTATTT